CCCAAAACCCTAAACTCCAAGAACACAGAGCCTCTCTCAGTTCCTCCTCCACCCCATGTTCTCACTTCCAGTTCTCAGTGGTTAGCATTTCCTCTCACCAGGAAGGTCAGCCCCAAAGCGCACACCTACCTTTGTCAAGCCTTGACTGACCAGAGCCTTTCTTCAGAGACCCCTTCCCTCTCCTGGGCCAGGATGAAGACTTTGCACCTCAGGGATGCATTCCTTTAGCCTACACTCATATCTACCACCTGGTGTGCCCATTGTTGGGTTCTTTCCCCCCCAAGAGAATACCCAGGGAGCCTACTGTATTTCTTAAGTGCTTCTGAAGTAGTACATGAATAGATGGGAATGAAATCCCCGGGACTTCAATTACAGAGGAATCCCTACCAAAGCCACCCACCTTACTGCACATGCGCATGTTGGCTGCAGCTTCACACCCCAGCTGCTCCACTTCCTACCCAGCTCCCTGCTTGTGGCCTGGGAAAGCAGTCGAGGACGGCCCAAAGCCTTGGGACACTGCATCCACGTGGGAGACCCGGAAGAAGCTCCTGGTTCCTGGCTTCAGATCAGCTCAGCTCCGGCCATTGTGGCCACTTGGGAAGTGAACCAGAGGATGGAAGATCTTTGTCTCTCGTTTGTTCTTTATATCTTCCTTTCCAATAAAAATAAATGTTAGGAAAAAAAGGAGTTCCAGACTCACGTAAGAGGGCCAGCTGCCAGCACAGTTTGGCAACCTGAATGAAGTAAGATGATGAACTTCTCCCCAGCTGGGCAGCACCCTAGTGTTGCTCCAAATGGCAGAGAGGACCTGAGCACCTCACATGGGTAGGTGAAAAGGCAAAGCTCAAAAATTAGATTGGGATTTTTGGGAACTGACTCGCCACTTACAGGTTCACTGCCTTCCTCAACTTTGGAAATAGACCATTGAGGGGCCCAACGCAGTAGCCTAGTGAAAGTGCCTTGCACATGCCAGAATTCCATATGGGCACCAGTTCTATCCTGGCAGCCCCGCTTCCAGCTTCCTGCTTGTGGCCTGGGAAAGCAGTTGAGGACAGCCCAAAACCTTGGGACCCTGCACCCATGTGGGATACCCAGATGAAACTTCAGGCTCCTGGCTTCGCATAGGCTCAGCACCGGCTGTTGCAGCCACTTGGGGAGTGAATCAACAGACGGAAGAACTTCCTCCCTGTCTCTCCTCCTCTCTGTATATCTGCCTTTCCAATAAAAATAAATAAATCTTAAAAAAAAAAAAAAACTACACTGTCATGACCTGAACTGAATTCAGCCTGGGGACTGGGACAAACCCAGGTTCCAATGCAGGCTTGCCACTGACTGGCTGTGTGAGACTTTCTTGGCGCATCAATTCCTAATTTGTGAAGTAGGGTAACATCTACCTCAAAGAGATGGTGAGAGACCACAACGTTGCAGGAGTAATAAAGCACCTTGAACTGTTGCTGTACAAAGTTGATGTCAACGAAGCTAAGCTATTTTACCAAATGTTTCCAAAATTGTGTCCCACAGACACGTTCTATTGCTGGTGGCTCCGGGTGGCTCCACGTTCTATTGCTTCTGGAAGTCCCCTGGCAGTGACCAAGCTCCACTATGTGACACACGTGATGAAGACTGACCACCTATGGCAGCTGGGGCATGTGACACACAGCTGTTCTTGTCAGATGTGCTGCTTGACAGGAAGGGTAGCAGTCCCCCTAGAGCCATGAGGGAGCCCCTTTGACACTGGAGACAGGACAAGGCATGAAAAGGGCAGGGTCAAAAGAGGGGGAGCTTGTCCCAGGCTGGGTAGCAGGAGGGAATGAAGGATGATGGAAGGAAGGTAACTGGGCTGTCTCTGCTGTTTTAACAGGGACAGCAGACAGCTCAGGCCTGCCCTCCACCAGGAGCCCAGCAGCCTCTCCTGATTCCAAGCTGCCAACTGGTCCAGAGCACTGCCACTCTGCCTTTTGTTATTTTCAAGTAGAATGGCAGGGGGAAGGGGCTGCTCTGACTCTCCAAGCCTACCCACCCCGCCCCCATCAATCATGGCCCACAGTATACTGAGGCCTCCAACACACATGTGACCCAGAGCCAGTTACTGTCATTTCAAAATTTTGAAAACCAGAGGGAAGTAGATGTTGACATGAGGATCTGGCAGCTTCCTCTCCTGGAACTGCTGCTGGAGCTTTTAGTAAGGCATGTGCCCAGCCTGCCTCTCGGAACTTACCTTTGTGCACTGGAAGGGTTGGGGGGACAACTGCCTCCTTGTGTGAAAGCCTTTGCAGGAATTTCACAGCCACTGGAACCATGTGGCATCAAGTCACAGGAGAAAAACACTCCTGTCTGCCAGGCTATCTCTGAACGAGAACCGGGAGGTTGGAAACCAGGGAAATAGTGACACATCAGAGCATGCCCAGGCTTTCCCTGACTCCTGAAGCCATCAGACCTTGGCAGTGGAGTCAAGGCCCCTGTGTCAGTTCGAATGCAAGCTGGGAGGCCACAGGTGGTACTGGGTATTGAGTTTGAAGAGGCTGGGTACTTTGCTCCCCAATGTTCTGAAAGGACCTCAAGGAGCACTGTGGGTTTTGTGCTTGGTGGCCTGTGGGCTGCTCTGACTTCGCCACCATCAATTCCTTGCGCTGATTTTGAACATTCTCGAAGCCTCTGGGCCTCATCCATCATATCGTAATGGGCTGGTCCCTCAAGACAGGGATGCTATGAGGATCATTCACTGTCAGTGCAGCTCACAGCCCAGCGGCTGCCAGGAAGTCATTCACTGTTGACAGCTGCAGCTTATTTTTCACTCATGGGACATCCTCTTAAGTCTCCCTCTGGTTACCTTGACTCATGTGACCTCCACTGGTCAATGACCGAGAAGTATCATGTGATACCTTAGGGACTCATGTTTGCCAACTTTCCCTTTCCATCTCTGCTAACAGGGAAAACATGAGCTGAGATGGCAGGATGGGAGTGGAAGTGATCTGAATCACCATCGCCCTACTGAAATCGTCCCAACACCAGAAAACACTAGAAATGCTGCTGTAAGTGAGCACCTGGATTGCAGAGTCGAGCTGAGCTTCATCAATATGGCTAGTGAACTTGTCCTAATAATCAAAAAATGACAGCCAATTCCAAAGTTATTCTAGGCATCATATATAGTATTTACTTTAAATAAGTGTGTATTTGAAAGGTAAAGTAACAGAGATCTTCCATCCACTGGTTCATTTAACAGATGACCTCCCAGGCCTGAGCTGGGGTGAAACCAGGGGCCTGGAACTCTCATCTAGGTCTCCTGCCTTGGTGTCAGGGATCCCAACCACTTGGGCCATTCTCTGCTGCTTTCTCATGAGCATTAGCAAGGAGCTGGATCGGAAGCAGAGCAACCATACTCCTACATGGAATACTAGCATCGCAAGCAGGTATTTAATGCACTACACCACACCACCAACCCCTTAATTGTTCTGTTAATGTACAAATGGTTCCCACCCGAGGATGACTTTTTGTGACACAAAACACACCATCACTTTTCTCAGGCAGGTCCCAACAGCCACTACCACATTCCTCCTTCACATCCAATCTCTCTAGTCAATTTCTAGTCTTCAGAGCACTTAGGTTCCTGTCCCAAGTCACCAAACTCTTTACTTTTCATACGTCTTAACACTCTCCACTGACCACTGCTCACATATCTGTTTTAAAAATAGCTCCACTGGCTTCTGTGACTAGCTATAGAGTGCTTGGCTCAGAGAGTCAGTCATTAAAAAAGTAAAATTCTACCAATCCAGGATAAAAATAGTGCTGACAACCAGGTTAAAAATGGGTCAAACCAAACAAGTATTAAGTGTTGTTTCATGTCTCCCAGTTTGGGAAAGCTGCAATGGCAGGAGGAGTTAAGGAGCTGCTAGCTAACAAGCCACAGTACAGCACATTAAGGTGGAGGTTTTTACTAAGCATCCAGGTCAAAACATTAAAAAATCTGAAATGGGTTGGAGATATAAGTATCTTCAATATAGACAACAAAGATGTGACATCAAAGTGGTCTTAGAAGGAAATATCTAGAAAAGCCCAAGACCACCACCTTGGGAAAACAGGAGAAGATATTAGGAAGACTTAAGCAAGGTAGCTCACCACTGTATAACGGAAGTGACGTAAAAAGGGAAGAATGGCTAACAAATACTCCAAGAGGGTCAGACTTCTCAGTGTGGACCTACTGCTGACCCTAATAATCAGTTTAAGGGGAGGTAGGCCCAGAGTATCTTAACAGTAAAAGGACAGCTTACACAGGAAAATCTTTTGAGGACTTTTACTATAAAGACACAGGGCTGGCATTGTGACATAGCAGGTAAAGCTGCTGATTGCAAAGCCAACATCCCATATGGGCACTGATTCGTGTTCTAGCTGCTCCACTTCCAATCCAGATCCCTGTAGATGTTCCGATCCATGTGCGAGACCTGGATAAAGCTTTCGGCTCTCGCCTGCCCTGACCTGGCTGCTGTGGTCCTCTGAGGAGTCAGGGGAAGGAAACTCACTTGCTCACTCTCCCTGTTTCAAAAGAATAAGTCTTTAAAGAGAAAAATGAAGCACATAAAAAGGCCCAGTCAAGGAAGTCTCATGTTCAATAATTTTCTACTGACCAGAAATTACTGTGCAGCCAACAAAAGACTTGCAGCTAACAGAAGGCTCTAAGATATTTAACTCTGAAGTAGCAGAGTGAAGTAACTGCAAGTGCTACATCATTTAGGCAGTCGGGAAGGGCACATGCTTGATCAACTGCCAAGGCTGCCCCAGGATCAGGAAGAAAGAGGGCAGACGCACACCTGATAGCTCTTGCTGCCTTTTTTTCCAATTTACAGGTAAAATAAGCACTTTCCTTCTTGCAAAGATGTATTGAACAATTTCTAAGTATATATGCAGATGTGATGTATAAGCTAATTTCCTAAGTGAGATTCTGCAGAACACATGGGCTGGACAGCACTTTGTGTTACCAAAGAGGATAAAACAGAGACATGGGGGAGAGAGAACACATGACAAAGTCTTTACTTTTAAGAGATTACCAGTACACCAAGTATAACATGTAATAAATTCTGCCATCTAGTAATTCTGATTAAGCTAAAAGCAGCCTAAACAATTACACAAGTAATTCAGTGCTTCCATCCTTAAAACTGACGTTAAGGCTAGCTGCTGCTTCACGCTAGTTACAGGAAGCGATTCACTACTTTTTCATAGATCAAGCCCCTGACCTTCAAGAAAGCATAGGGGAAAAACTGTGTGATCCCTTTCTTTCTTTAAAGAGTTGTGGGTTTTTTTTTTCTTTCTTTTTTTCCCCCCTACCAGATCTAGGACAGACAAATATCAACACCGACGTACATGGTGCTCAGACTAAAAGGCACAGGAAAACACAGAACACACACTTATTAAACTTCTCTAAAAAATACAAAGTAAAAAGATGAACTCTTTGGAGAAGTTCTAACTCTGTACAGAGCAGCTAACCAGTGAAGGGCCCTCCTATGTAACACACAAAAAGATTTTAATGCCTTGTCGGGAGAGCAGAGCATGTGAGCTTTGCTGAAGCGTCACATCCCAGGAGGGCGTCTACAGCGCCCACCAAGGGAATAAGGGCGGCTTTCTTCTATCCGTTGATGCGGTAATTTTCATGGATTTCTGGCCGGATGTCACACACAAAAGCCAAGAGGTTATCCAAGACTTCCTCCCTGTTTTGCTGGAAGTAGTTCTGGAGGATGGTCATCTTCTCCTGGGTCTCCTTCTCCACTTCACTGCTGCAGCTGCCGTGTGAGCCCAGAGCCTGCACGGGAGGGAAACACATGGGGGGGGGGGGGGGGTGGTCAGGAACACTCGGGAAACAGCTTGCCGACAGGCAAAATGGGCTTATCAACGACCAGGAAGCAATGAGGTCGAACGACCGATAGCATGCAGGGAAGCAGACACTCGCACAAGTTGATGGGAATCACATTTACCTCAAAGTCAACTTCATGTGATTTCCACTGCTAGAAAATTATTCCAGGGACAACACTCACCTCTCCCCAGGGTCTAAGCATGACCTTGACCAAGATGACAGTGGACCCTAACAGTCAACAACTGAGGATTGGCTCAACAAATCATGGTGCTTCCACATACAAGTGAATACCAGCCAATCAGATGAACTGAGCCCTTCCCCATGTCAGGGTCTCTACAGCATCATTAGTGACTACCCCCGCATCCGGGATGCTGATGGATGTGGCCTGACAGCAAGGAGTTACCCCTCCCCTTACACCCCTCCTCTTGCACCTCAAGCATGTTCATCTCCTGGCTTCTGGCTTTGTCCCAGTTCATCCCGGGCCATCGAAGCCATCTGGGCAGTGAACTAGTAAATGGAAGAACTGTTTACCCCCCTGACAACTCTTTCAAATAAATAATAAATATTTAAAAAAAGAAAAGAGAGAAGAGAAGAGAGGAAAGAGACGAGAAGAGACGAGAAGAGATGAGAAAAGAGAAAAGAAGAAAAGGAAAAGGAAAAGGAAAGGAAAGAAAAGAAAAGAACCTCTTAAACTGCTACCAGGCAGTGGCTCTGGGGACTTCAGGACCAGGAGAGAGGCGGCCAGCTTTTCACTGCTGCCCTTTCCACTCCCTACTATCTTTACTGAATTATATCTTCAGCTTTCGTTTTTACTTATGACTTGGTTTCTCAGTTTTCTTTTACCTTCTACAGCTTCCATAGCAAAGCAGGCTTTTTGTTAACTGCCATACTTACTTCACTTGGCCTATCACATTCTGCAAGACACAATATTGTGTCTGAACCTAATTCAACCAGCGAGCTTCTCTCATTTTAATATCCTTTCAGATTGATGCATGAGTTCACAAAGCATCATCACTGACCACATTTCTTATTCCTCAAAACAACCTATGAAGAGCCTATCACTCCATTTAGATTAGCAAAACAAAGCTCAAAGAAGGCAGAGTAAACACACAGAGAGGCGCACACAAGTCTTCGGAGTGCAGATGTAAAGAGCTGTTCACACCCTCCCATCACCACTTGCGTTGCAGGACTACCCTGGGACAGTCCACAGGAGATCAACTGCAAACCAGTGCATAACCCTTCCTTGCGGGAAAAAACTCAATAATAAATCATTACAAAGTTCCGGAAGTTATCTCAAAATGGAAACAGTTAACAATGGAAAACCACTAGAAAATTCGAAGCTTTTGCTTTAGCAATGCAATAGGGATACCTTCTCCACAAGAACTGCAGAGGGTATAACATGGAGACAGGATGGCTGTTGCACACAAGCATTTATACAAACTTTGCAGGCAATCTGATGGCTGACAGCCCCAAACAGTCCCAGGTTGAAAGACAAACAATTTAGGATTCTTCTTAATCTAATAACATATTTAAATTTTTATAGATTTTTTTAAAACCCCGGTGTCTGATGCTCACCCTGCATTTTAAACTATAATAACAAAACAGTCATCCAGGGCCTGTCACGATGGCGTGGTGGCTAAAGTCCTTGCCTTGAATGCACCACAATTCCATATGGGCGCCAGTTCTAATCCCGAGAGCCCCGCTTCCCATCCAGCTCCCTGCTTGTGGCCTGGGAAAGTAGTCGAGGACGGTCCAAAACTTTGGGACCCTGCACCAGCGTGGTCTGAGACCAGGAGGAGGCTCCTGGCTTCGGATTGACTCAGCTCCAGCTATTGCGGCTGCTTGGGGGAAGTGAACCATCAGACAGAAGATCTTCCTCTCTGTATATCTGCCTTTCCAATAAAAATCTTAAAAAAAAAAAAAAAAAAAAAAAACCAGCCATCCTGTGCGAAGTAGGTGTAGCTTTGGTTACTCGGTAGTAAGAGGGACACACATCTCTTTTAATACTGGATGCAAAGCCACCACAAGGTACAGCTGGAGAAGCAAGCAGAGTCAGAAGCAGAGCTAGAGACATGAGTATATCATTTAAGCCCTAGGATCAAAATAAAGCTGGCCACCCAAGTTTTTGATTTCCCTGACCAAGAAGTCCCACCATGTACCAGGATGAACCATGTTTTCTGATACCCGCATCTAAGGGCCCTGTTGGCTTCTGCTCTTTGTCCTGTCTTCCTCCATTCCTACCCTTCCCAGAGTACTCCCTGCTTCCTCTGTATTCTCCACCATCCAATGCATCGTAGTACAGCCTACACTAGCTAGCAGCGAGCACCGCTCCCACTCTGCTATGCTCAGGTGAGGCTCTGCTTATGTCACTCCACACTGAGGACTGGCAAGGCTACAAGCCGGGCTCTCTGAGGGCAAGCAGCGAGCCCTTTGTTGACAACCGATTCCCTACCACCTAGCTGGTACTGGGTGCATGTTTAATCATTTCATTCCATATATTATTGTTAAATGAGGACTAGGATTCACTCTCAGTTAAAAAAAACAAAAACAAAAACAAAAAACAAACTTTAACTGCCCCAAAAGATGTGGCCTGAGCATATAATAAAATGCTTGATGCCCAAATTTTCAAAATTCAACAGTACTCAGAACCTCTGAGCTATGCTGTGAGTCTTTGGTGCCTGAGGGGAGAAGAAAGGGAGGAAAACCAAGCAGGGCCCACCGCAGCTTCCTTGGCCTTGAACTCCTTCTCCCTCTGCAGGCGGTACTGCTCAATTTCAGCCTGCGCCTCTTCTTTGGCCTGCTTCAACCTCCGGTTCTTTCCTGTTTTCAAAAGAGAGAACTAAGTCAGGAAGTGGTTAAAAAGCAAGTAAAAAACCAGACACTGAAGTAGTTTTCAGTAAACAAGGGGGGGGGGAGTTAAAATATATCCCAAAAGACATGCATGGGAAGAGAATTAAGCTAATAGGTTTCTGACACCTACAGGCTGTATTTAAGAAATGACTACATTAACAAAAATGTACACGTAACCAAAACCCATGAAAAAGGATGAAAAAAAACTGGCAGAATGTCAAAATGTTTTCTCCATTTAAACTAACAACCAACAGGGAACTCTTCTTCCTAAGAAATAAGCACCTAGGTATGGGGCTAGAGCACAGATGAGAAGCTTAGCAAGGAGCTAATATGTTCACAAGAGACACCAACCTAAAATCTAACTAATGGTGGATGATGTACTACTCCAAACCTCTTGCCTACAGCAAGGAAGCAAAACAAGCCAGAAAGGCAGGCTGCAGGGAGATGCCTGCAAGGCAAGGCTGCACCCGGTGGAGAGGGGCAGGGCCTCAGGCGCACGCACGCCCTTGCCCTTCTACACACAGTTCGGGAAAACCTCCAGGTTCTGCCCAAGTCTGTATGAAAAGAGCCCACAAGCCCAGCCTTTGCTTTGATTTCCTGGACACTCACATGGGTTGAAAAGACAGAGTCTCAGATGATCAACCAGAGTTTTTAATTCAGAACAAGAGACACTGTACACTGCCAGAGCCCAGAGGAGCCCTACGGGTGAATGACACTCCACTTAACCTTACCCCTTCTGACTGAGAATCACCCACACAACACCAACACTTCAGGTCTTTTTCTAAGCACCCCAAGAAGTACTTGTACCCGTCTGTGTTACTCCAGTACTATGTCAGGTCTGCTGCTTTACCCCAACCTTCCTCATGACATCCATCTCAGCTACACTGTCCCACAACCCAACAACAGCATTCAGGGCCCAGGCACTCCGCAACAGTCCACCTGATTTTATAACACACCATTCCCAACTCCTCTGGTGAACTGCATTAATTACTTAATATCTCCTCTACCTTTTAGTAAGCAGCTGCCAAGTTTCATTTGATAGGCTTCTCTGAAAACCAAAGCACTTCCACAGGAAATCACATTTCCTTCAAATCGCATTGTTCTCAGGTCTCAGACCCGGGAGCTGGTGTTTGGCTTCCCTCTAACAAAATAAATCACAGCAATCTTTTTTTTTTCTCTTTTTATATTTAGATCCAAAGCAGTGATTTCAGGAAAAATTTGAGTTGGGTCACTGCCTCAGAGGCAAGTCAGCCATAGTTACAGATTAAGACAGCTGATAACTTTCTCAAACTGTGGCTCTGAGATGCTAAGTAGCCACAAACTAGCACCTTTAGGACAAATGCGCTCAGGGTAAGCTAAGAGCCACCTAAGCCACACAACACCCTCCAGCAAGCCTGACAGGCTAACCACGCCCCAGAGGCACTCACTGACTCACACCGAATTCCAAGCATTTTTGCCTTCCCCAGACAGACACCCTTCCCAGCTGAGCCAGCTTATTCCTGATGAGACCTCACTGGACTCAGAGAAGTCATTCTGGAACGACTGTGTCAGGGGCATGACTGGAAATATTCCACAAGGAACTCGGAATGTTCCAGTTGCTGGAGTAAGAGAAGGATTCTCCCCATTTCCATGCCCCTCACAGACAGCTCCTTCTGTGTGACACAGCATCACAGGTCCTTAATTGAGACTGGAGGAGCCGTGCGTGATGTCTACTTGAACCAAGTGCAACAGAACCAAGTCCTGCAATGAACACACGAAGAGTTACTAAGACCAGCATCTCTTGGCATTTTAGCCTTGAATGATAAAGGAGGCCTCTGGGCCCCAGCGATGCTATTTCACCAAAGAAAGATGAAAACATCTCTCTGAGCCTTTTCCCATCCATAAAGAACACACCCATCTTTCTCCCAGCTGGAAATCTAAGTACACAAAATTAAGTCAGATCCAGTCTCTCTTCCCTAGGAACGTCAGCCGGGTGACTGAGCCACGTAAGCAAACTCTGAAGAGGGGCTCCCAGCCCAGCTGCGGAAGGAGGGTGAGTCAGGGAACATGTGCACATGTGCTGGAAGAAGGGCTCCCTAAAGGTTGAAGTCCAAAGCAGGACTAAGGATTAGAGAAGCGAGGGGAGGAAAATGGCAAGGCTCTTTCAACCCAAGGACAAGGTGCATGCCAAGGGCTAACAGGCGAAATCAACGGAGTTTATTAGTGGGGGGGGGGGTGCCGTGGGATTCAGCACGCTGGAGGCTTATCCCTGGAAGAGGTCTGCGCTGGATTCTGGACACCCAAAAGGCGGTGAGGATAAACGACTGCAGGGAGAATGGGTTGGAAGAAGCCGGTTTCTTCCGCTTCGGCCCCACCTAGAAAGTTCTGTGGCAATCCAGCATTTCTCAGAGCCCTGAGCTCACCTGTAATTACCCTAGCCAGAATTTGCTTCCTGGTTTACCTAGACGTGGGAAATCACGCTGGTGGAGATTGCTGACGCAGCGGGCACCGGGCCTGCACTTGTCAGTCGCCTCAAAAAAGGAGGAATAAAACTAGGAACCAACGGGTTAAGGTGCGACAGGAGCTCCCGAGAAGTTGGTGTCCTGGGCTGAGACGCTGGCGGCTGGGAGAAAGGGAGCGGACCCCCTCCTCCCCCCAGGAAAAAAACAAACTGGCTAGGCGTGGCGGGTAAGGGAAAACAGGGAAAAACAACAAGCAGGACTCCCGAGTTTCCAGCGAGAACAGTGGGGCAGATGACGGCTCGCTGCACAAAGCAGCAGGTGGGAGGGCAGCCTTCGGATCGCCGGATTTTACCCGCCCCCAGACCCCAAGGCGCACGTTCACACATCGTTTGCCTCCCCACTCAGGTTCTTTCCGCACATCAAGCCCTTCTAGACCCTCAGCCCCGGAGAGCTTCCAGGGTCGCAGCCATCCCCTCACCCCACGCCGTTTTCTGAACCCCGTCCACCCGCCGCCTCGCGCCTAAACTCACGCTTGCGGGCCTCCGACACCTTCTCCGCGGCCCGCTTCTCGGCCTGCAGCAGCTGCTGGATGCCCTGAGACTGACTGGCCATGGTGGCTTGGACCGCGGGAGCCTAGAACAGCGGCCTAAATCGACTCGAGGGATCCTCACGTCACCTGACCAGCCAGCCACAATCTGCGTCTGCGCCGAGGGCCGACGCCCCGCCCACTCAGTCACGTGACCTGCGCAGCGCGGCATCAGCTGACAGCCGCCAGACCCAGCCCGGAGGAGAGTAGCGGCCGGGCGTCGCACTGCGCCTGCGCAGTGCCTGTGCGCGCCCGGCCCCCACTCCGTCGCAGCCGCCTAGCTTGATTTGTGTTAGCTTTTCTGGCCCGTCCTTATTGTCCTGGAGACCCGGGATACTGATACAGGTTGCTGGACTTCCGTGGGGGATTCCTAACTTCCGTGCTAGATACCTGTCTCTTTTCAGCAGGTTCTTTATTTTTAGATTTAGGGAGATACTTGCCAGTGCTAGGGGTGGAATCTTGGGTTGCCGGCAGGGAAAATGTGGACCAACTCTTGTTAAAAAAAAGATTTGGGGCAGGTCCGTATCCTTTCTGAACGTGCGTTCCGGAAAGGATTGGACGAATTTCCACACACGTCCGACCCCGTCCTGCTTTGATATTCAAGAAAGCAAGAAAAACTCAGTCGCTAGCTGGATTCCGACTATGGACCAAAGGCAGGTGAACTAAAATGTGTAATTAGAAGCCATTGTCAAAGCAGGCACAGAAAAATGCAGGGTGCTTGAAAAAGGCTCCAGGGGCTGGCCTCATTTGCAGCCTCCTGCCACTGCCCCTGGGATGACCGGAGACGTGAAGACTTGGTTTCCTCCCCACCCCCACACTCTTGGCTGGGGCCTTCCCTAGACGTGACTGTTGCCACCATCTGGGGAATAGGCCAGTGGATGGACAATGTCTCTCCATGTGTATCTGCCTCTCTCTGTTACTTCAATTCATTTTAATGGATCCATTTAATACCAGGAGGCAGACACAGAGGTGTCTGTGGAGGCTTTCTGTCGGCCATGACACTTAAAATGAGCTCGGAAGCAAAGGGTGCTGGAGGGCTTCAGGGCTGAGAGGTGACTAAGGGAGAAAAAACAATGTATGTGAAGTCGGGGACAACAGTTGCTCCCCAACACACACACACAGAGCTGGGAAGGCAATGGCTTAGTCTACAGGATGACAGACACACTTGGAAGCACTTGGTGTACCCCTCACAGCAACCTCAGAGCACTGTTAGCAATTCAGTTTTGTAACACCGCAAGTGAAGATGAGCAGGTTCAGCCACTTGCACAGCGTCACACTTGTGCTAACCGTCACACGGCACCTCTGATTCAGGCCAGCGCTGCCAGGGTGAACCTCTGACTCACCGGGCTCTCCTAGATGACCTGCCAGAGATCGCCAAGTGCTGAGAACCCAAGATAATGCCAGGATTGTTTTTGCTGGGAACATCTGCGTGCTCACAGAATAGCTGCAGTTTCGACGACTGTTGGAGGTTAGAGATGGGCTTGGAAACACAGCTAAAATCCAAAATACCTGTCCCTTCCGGGTGGCGTGAGGACTGGATCTTGCTGGAGGATCTCTGGGACTTTTAAATCCCATCAGTGATTTCTCTGAAAGATTCAGAAACATTGTTCTCAGGAAACAAAATTCATGGTTAGCAAAAGAGAGAAATGCATACTTCTGGAGATAGAGCAAAGATTCAGAGCTGATAGTAGCCAAAAGTGGAATGTGTAAATAGAACCTGACATGACACTACAATAGAATTGTATGTGGTCATTAAAAGAAATAAAGGAATGATAGAAGCTACAGCATGGACAAGCCTTAATACTGTTAGGTGAAGTGAAAAAAAAAAAAAAAACAACCAGGTATCAAAGGCCACATGTGGTACAATCTCATTTACCTGAAACAGCCAGAATAGCCAAATCTGGAGAGACAGACATCAGATCAATGACCAGCCAGGGGCTGGGGAGAGGGAGTAGGGAAGTAACTGCCAGTCGGCATGGGATGTCTCTTCAGGGTATTGGAAATGGCCTGAAATTAGGCTCTAGTGATGGTATATACACCCTTGGGAATATACAAAAATTACCTAATGATAAACTTCTGAATAATTGCTTTAGGGATTATGTTATTCCAGTAAAGCTGTCATTTTTTTGAAAAGAGATAATGATGATGATTGTGTATGGAGTCCTCTCACTGTTTCTAGTTCCTAGTAAGTGCCAGGAAATGGAAGCTGTTATTTTTTTATCTATCTAGGAGGGTAATTCTTGCACAACTTTGATCCTACAATTAACAAAAACCTTCTCATTAAGGTCTCTGATCACTCAATTCCTTAAAGAAACCAAGTATATACAAATCCCAGAACTCTTCGGCTGCTGGAAGCATTTCAGATGTTTATTGTGTAAAGAGGGAAGCACTGGACAATACCTCCTCTGAAATTGTCCAGACCGATTTGGGTTTTCTGCTGATCTGAGTGGGTGTTTGTTATCAAGATGTGGGTACCCAGAAGAGGTGTCCCATTGTTATGGGGTGCAGCCAGTGAGAGCCAGCACCCATTGACAGTTGGCAAATGAAATGTGGCTGTGTCCCCTACCCTCTGTCCTGAAGGTGGGTCCTAACAGCAATGGAATTTTTTTTTTTTTATAGATCTTCATTGCTATGGGCAATATCAATAACAGTGATACAGGGGACGTGGACCATCTCAGGTAATTATAAGCAATCAGCCTCTTATGGATGAATTATATCACAAGAAATTATTACAGAAGCTACAGATAAGTATGTGATAAAGTAAGATTCACATATAATATCTCTAGATTTGACATTGTATTATCTCAGAGCAAGCATATATCTGACCTTTTCGGATCGGCTCATTTCCCTTAGCATAATGGTCTGTAATTTGGCCCATTTGGCCAAAAAGCAATGCATTTGATTTTTTTTTAATAGCCAAGTAGTATTCCATAGTGTAGATGAACCACAATTTCCTTATCCAGTCCTCTGTTGATGGGTATTTAGGTTGCTTCCATGTTCTTGCAATTACTGATTATGCTGCAATGAACATTAGGGTGCATGTTGCTTTGTCATATAACAAGTCTTTTGGATATATTCCTAGAAGTGCTATTGCTGGATCACATGGTGGGTGGTTTTTAAATTGCCTAAGTGTTCTTTATGCTGACTTCCATAGTGGCTGCACTAGTCTGCATTCCCACCAGAGTAGGGATCCCTTTTCTCCCCAACCTCATTAGCAGGTATTATTAGTAGTTTTCTGAATATGAGCAATTCTTTCTGGTGTTAAGTGGAACCTCAGTGTTGTTTTTATTTAAAATTTCTTTATTGCCAGAGAGCTTGAGCATTTTTTCATGTGTCTATTAGCCATTTGAATTTGTTCTTTTGTAAAGTGTCTGCCCGTTTCCCTTGCCCATTTCTTGACTGGTTTGTTTGTTTTGTTTTAATTACATTGCATTATGTGACACTGTTTCATAGCCTGTGGGATTCCCCCAACCCCTCTCCAGACCTTCCCCCCACCTCCACCTTGGTGCAGTATTACAGTTCATATTTAGTCAAGATTCTTTCATTGCAAGTATAGAGTCCAGCATCCTATTGTCCAGATAAATTCAATGGTTTCTTGGGGAGACCATCTCTGGTCTGAAGACAGAGCTGGCAGAATATCATCCCAATCAATTAAAATCCACAACATAACATCAACAACAATTTACAACATTATGGAATTAATTGACATGGTATTGAGTAACAAATATGTTTTAAAAAGTGCAAATTCTTGACCACATCCTGTGATTACTTCATTGACATTTCAATTTTAGTTTCTACACAGAAATGGCTGCTACACACTTTAAAATGCCTATAGGTACTATTCAATTGTCTTGTGTCTATTTTCATTTGGTTTGTTTGTTTTGAAGCAATAGAATGTTAATTCCATCCTCAACCATTCTCCCCACCACTTAGATATTCCTCCTGCCCACCTGTGACTCACCTATCTTCTAAAGGTGATGGTATTGCATTGTTGTGTAACCACTACCCTCACAAGTTCCTTTTAAAAGACCTGTGAAGCAGAGACTCTTTCCGGTCAGATGCTTCTGTTGCTCTGGCACCTCAACTCTTGGCTGACCCAGGACAGGTAATCCTCTGAGCATGGTCCTGTGTACTGCTTAGATGGGACAATGGATATAGCAATATTATTCCTGGTTTGTGTACTATCAGGAGTTCCAGGAGGGGTGAGGCCTAGCAGTGATAGAATGTGGGCAGCTTTGTAAGTGTGTCCAGGTTATTCGTTGCATGAATAGCTTATATTGTTGGGGAAGCTGGGACATAGGTCTTCAGCTTAATGGATGGACTTAAGGATAATGACCATTTGTTCCTTTTGGGATTATGTTTGGTCGGATTATGGTTGGTTGGATTGGTGATTTGTTATCTTTAGTGTGCTCTATTATCACCAAGCTTGGTTAATAACGACTCCTTAATAAACCTTAGACATGTCTGTGTGATCTCGCTCGCACCTCGGAACACCATAGTAACTAGGGAATGGGTGGAAGCAGCTGCCCTGCCAAGGAAGTCAAGAAGTCTCAAGCCAGCAGGCTAGAGCCAATGGGGGCAAGGTCGTCTGAAGGGCACATACTGGATCCCAGGTCTGGTTCCTCTGACCTTGGAACGCCTTAGCAGACCAGAGCAAAGGAGATCCACGTCCAGGTGCTCTTCACCAGCTCCAGCTCTCACCACCTCTGCTACAGGGCTCAGGTTCAAATCCTGACCCTCTCCTTCAGTTACTGGGTCATCTTAAGCAAATAACTCAACCTGAGTTTGAGCTGTCTGGTATGTTAAGACATGGCGTTAGTCTACATGTTTGGCACAGCAATTAAAATGCCTCATGGGGTGATGGCATCGCAGGTCCCCAGGCTCCGCTCCTGCATTGTGCACTCTGGCAGACCAGAGATGACCGCTGAAGTAGTTGTGCTCTTGTCACCCACCAGGGAGCCCCCAGACCCTTGGGAGTTCCTGGCCCCCTGCCTCCATCCTGCAACAGCCCCGGCTTTTGCCAGCGTTTGAGGTGGTTGGAAATTCTCACTCTATCTCTCTACTTTGCAAACAAAATCACAATAAAGAAATACTTTTAAGTGGGATTAATCATTA